ATCTGTATCTGTATCTGTATCTGTATCTGTATCTGTATCTGTATCTGTATCTGTCCCATTATATCTTTATCTGTATTTTTCGCTGTATCTTAGCATCTTCTTTTGTATCTTTACAATTTTATCTATAGCTGTATATCCGTAACAGTGCGTTTGCATCTCTTACTGTAACTGTAACTGTAGCTGCATCCTTACACAGCTATCTGTATTTATGCTTGTATCTTTATCAGTATCTGCTGCTGTACCTGTATTCATATATATAGAATTCGCTTTGTGTGCACGTACATGTTGCTGTATCGCTGTAGCTGTATTTGAAACTCTATATCTGTAGCTGTCTCTGTATAGCTTTATCTTTACATATGTATCTATATCTGCTCTCATGCACAACATGTACTTGCTTGTAGATGTTTTTATATTTCGCCCTAAAATTTTCGCTAACTAAATTATTATTATTATTGGTTGTTTTTTCTCTTTTCTTTTATTTTTTTCTTTCGTTTTTTTGTTCTTTCTACATGTGTGTTGTTAAATTTTTTTGTTAGAGCGACCGTGTGATCATTTAGCGCTGTGCTAATTTAATTTGTCTGCGTGTTTGTGCCTCTTGTGTATGGAATTTGTTTTTGGTAGCTTCGGAAAATATAGGAGTATTGCAAAACGCAAAGCAAACAATTCATGAAGTCGAATATGGCCAACGAATTTCTTCATACATATCAAAATTTTGAACATCATTTGGTTGCTTTACACTCGAACAGTCCCAAATACCTATAGCCTATGCTCTAAAAACTATAATCTGTTTTTCGGTTAGCTGAAAATGCGAGAAGAGAGAGCGAGAGAGAGACAGCAAAAAAATAATAAATAATTCAGCAAAATGCATCAATAGAGAGAAATTGTTGTCTATAAATTGTTTAAAAATTTTCCACAGCTTTGCTGTTTACATTTCTTGCTGTGCAGCGATGATAATAATTATATGAAAATAAAAATAAAAATAATAGTATACATGTTGATGATATATATATTAAAAAAAAAAAAGAAAAACAGAAAACGAATAAATGCAAAATATTTGTTTGCATCAATAATTTCACTTCTCATTTAAAGTTTGTGCAAAAAGTTAGCAGCAAATTGTGGATTTTTAATAACTCAACTCGATATGTCGTCTGCTCTGCAAATTGTTGTTGTGGTTGTAGTTGTTGTTGTAGCTGTGTGTAATAATTATATTACATTATTACATAGCTATGGATATTCGCCCTTGGCTTTGTGTAGCTAAAATTCCATCATAAATAATTTCACACATTTAAACGACTAAGTCCTGGTTGGACACAACGTGGTAACAGTTGAATGAAAACGATTTGAATGTCATTATGTTTCCACTCGCTAAGCCTCTGGTTCAAAAGGAATTTGAGTTTTGTTTGTTCTCTAAGCTCAGCTAATGCAAATGCATTGCAAAAGAAAATATTCGCTTTTCTTTTTTATGAAGAGACAATTTTAAAGATACTTATATATTCCTAGAATGAATGATTAGAAATATTTAATCATGCGAGATCTCTAACATATAATGTTAATGCTCGTATCTCACTTAAATAGTTCGATGTAGAAAACTCATCTAGTTATCCTTTGATATATGCAATTCCCCAACTCCCTCTCTTAACACACGCACATTAAGAACAATTAAAGTACACTTAAATCTAAGCTTTTAGCTATATGCATATACATACATACATATGTATATCCCCATAAGCTGCTAATAAACTGCTGTCAAATGCCACCGATGCATTGCCTTGCTCGTTTTGCATGCCCGAAATTGACGCGCGCGTCGCTGGTTTCGGTGGGTTACCCACAACTGCCGCCAGCCTTCAACTCTTCAATGAATACGCCAACAATACAGAGAGAGATGGAGAGAGAGAGAGAGAGGAAGAGTGAGAGGACTCGCAGTTGTTCCTGGAGTGCGTATTATAATGAATATGCATATGTGTGTGTGCAGCGATGTAAACACATTTATTGGTCTAAATTGTCACCAAACTCTGTATTACCTGGAGGGGATTATAGAGAGATATCTATATATACATACATACATATATGTATATGCATAGGTATATGACGCAGTATTGCATAAAGTAATCGAGTTAAGTTGTGCGTAAAGCGAAGCGGTTAAAGCTAAATTTGCTGTGCATATGTTATGCAATAGCCGGGCTTATAGAGCCCAGTTTGGGGGAGGGTATTAAATCTTCGGTGCAATTGGTAGTCAATGGGTTTTAGTTGTTAAACGCCACTGGTTGGGTATTGGCTCATAATTGATTTGGCTTTTGTTTTGCCAATGCGTTAATACGCTACCAACAGATTCAATTAGCGCGCCGCTAGTTGAAGATATGCGCGGGAAAATTAGATTGCAAATAGTTTGGAAAATTTGCATGTGAAAATTAAATTCTATTGGCATCAGAGAATGTGGATCTCAACCAAATCAAGTGAAATGATGAGAAAGCAGCTACTCGCTCTCAATGGCAATGCCAAGGCTTCCCATATACACCCACACGCACACACACCCACACGCACGCACACCCACATACT